TGTAACATCTCTAAAAACACCAAATTACCTAAACAAGGATTTACTTCTACTAGAGGATCTTTTTCTTCGTCACTGCTGAAACTAACACAGCAAGAACATAGCGTTCTGGCAGATAAAATCGGAATGAATAACGTCAGATTTACACATATTCTATTTTTTTGGGTTCAAAAAAAGTACATAAGCTGTCACTGATGATATCCCACAGTCACATCATCAAACCATCTTTGACGATAAACAGTAAACACAGGCCCCTCATTTTCAATCCCACACAGACCGCTCACTCTCTCAGCTCTCAGCTCTTTTGTTCTTTTTTTGGTTGGTGTCCAATTTATTTCAAGGCATTCTTGTAGTCTAACCCACGTTCGGAAGATGTCCAAAGCATAACATTCACTGATGAGAAATACCCAATCCTTATATATATTTAAATTCAGTTCTCAAAGCGACTTTGTAGCTTTCAATAACTAAATCACCAACGTAGGATTGATCATTTAATTTCAATACCTTTTTTTAGAATATCAAGAACGGATATCAAAATCATCGTTATATCGCAAACACAACAGATTATAAATGGATTTTACTGTCACGTATCTGATGTTTTTCTTGTAAATGATACATCATATATATACATCGTCTATTTCTAACACCGCCTAATACTCTACCAACTAGATATATATATAAAAGGAACAATTAAACTTACCATCTGGATCTGGCCGTAACATGCCACCAAGGCACCAATTGTGAGATTTGGGTTCATCTCCCTATAAACTTATATGGAAGTTTCCACTGTAATAGAGACACGTAAACACACACATAGGTCACATGTAATTGTCTCCATAACCTTATAAAACAATAAAAACACTAATCCTTTATACATATCACACAGTAGAGAAACCGAACAAAACACGAAGCCCCAAAAGACAGGGATAAGAGAGACTTTTAACTTTGTTTACTCCCTCCATCTCTCTCTCTCTCTCTCTCTCTCTCTCTCGATCCTACATTCTCTCTCTAAAGCAAAGCAATGAAGAGGGAGGAGAGAGGATACGTTGTCGCGTTCTCTGATCGGAGAGAAAGAGAAAAGAAGGGGAATAGTAAAGGAGGAAGTGAAGAAGCAGCTACTCTTGTCTGGACCACTAATTGCAGTGAGTCTTCTTCAGTTTTGTCCACAAATAATCTCAGTCATGTTCGTCGGACATCTTGGCTCTCTTCCTCTTTCCGCGGCCTCCATTGCCACCTCTTTTGCCTCCGTCACCGGCTTCACATTCCTCGTCAGTTCTTTTTTCTATTAACCCTCTCTCTCTCTC